TTAACATTCCAAAGTTATGTAACACTTTATGCTGTACCTGAATGTCATAATCTTTCAGATTGCACATATACAATTAAGAGTAAATTTTCTTAAACCGCAAATTACATTTTTTAAGCTATATGGCAGATTATGATTTCTAAGGAACTGGGGTAATGAGCAAGTTCATGGATGAATGGTCTTCAGGTTATAGAACAATATCAACTTGCCCATGTTTAAAACCGAATCCTTTTTTGCCCAGAGTAATTCAATGTTAGAATGGTAAAATTGTATTGCTTTGGTCACAGTGTGTTTGTAAGCCATGTACCGGGGTGGGCTCCCCAGGATACAGTGAAGTCACGAACGAGGAAAGCAACCTCAACACCAGCTTTTGCCACAACAGAATTTTACTTAGATGTGGCAGATAAACACAACCATAAATACTGGAAACATACAATAAATTTACATACACCCAGCCCAAAGGCTGAGACCCTTGTGCTGCACAGCATGGCGCCTCCTGATGGATGAAGGAAGAAAGTGTAGTAATTTACCTACTGGTGGGCACTAATAAGCTGCCACACCTTACCTGTTATTACCCTAAAAGAGCAGGAATCAGTGTATGGGTGTACGGTATGGGCTAGCCTGCGGTGCAGCACAACAGCTTACAACCTTACACAAATCTACATTATTCCCCCTCCCATAACTGGTCCTGTAGCACGTGCCTGAGTATTCCTTCTGAGCAAAACGCCAGTCTGGCTTGAGTTTGTGGGATTTTATCAGCTCTCCAATGTGAAATGTCACTTTAAGTTGTGGAGTCCTTCCAAAAATCAGTAACAACACTTGTGGCCTGACACAAACAGAGACCCTAACTAACTAACTATAGGCCTGGCCTCAGTCTCCAGGCACCAACACTGAAATGAGGTGCGTGCACGATCTTACTGACCCGGGTTTGCTTTGCATCCGCTGGTGATTCTGAACAGAACAAATGTATCTCCAACAAGCATGCGGTATCGCAGTTTATGCTGCTTAGTTCCTCTGCTTTCATCAGCATTCCTGGCAGCAATCTTCCTTTCTCTGAACAGGATCAGGGTCTTGGACACAATCAGCTTCACTTAGCTGCAGTTCTGGTTACTGAGGGATGCTTTCACATTTGGATGTCATCAGATTCTCAGCTCACAGGGCCCCTTATTCACCATGCACCAAAATATGGCTTCTCTTTCTCCTTCCTGTTCTCTCTCCACTCTGTGTGAAAACTCCACCTCTTCATGAATATACAAATATCTAAGCAGTCTGAGGCTGTGTTAGAAAAACAGTGACGTCTTGTGGCTAAACCGTAGAATGTCAGTCAAAACATTTAATTTACTCCACACAATAATTTACTTCCACACAAACAGTGTTCAAACAATGAGAGCTCTTTACCCATCTCACATGTTGAAAAAAAAATAGTAAAAAAAAGAAGAAATAGTGTAATAAAAAAGAAAAAAAAAAAGAAATATATTATTATTATTTTTATTTCTTTACATACTGTCACCAGTAAGTGTCCCTGATCACCGCCAGACCAGTTATATAATAACGCTGTACTGGACTGGTGACAATATGTAAATAAGAAAAAAGTTAGATTTTTTTAAATTTCTACATTTTCCAAGAAATTGTAACAAAAAATTACAACCTCAAAAAAACTCATCATGCCTCTTATTAAATACTTTAGAGTATGTATTTTCCAAAAATGGACAATTTGGGGGGTATTTGTACTATTCTGGTGTTTTCGGGCCTCAAGACATGGGCCATCAGTACAGTACATCAGGATTGATCAATCGATTGTCAGATATATATACCATGGTTTACGGACTCTATAACTTTCCTACAGACTAAATAATATACACTAATTTGGGGCATTTTCACCAAAGAAATGTAGCAGAATACTTTTTGACCTAAATTTATGAAGACATTTTATTTATTTGCAAAATTGTATAACCGAAATTAACAAAAAATAATTTTTTTCAAATGTTTGAGTTTTTTTTGTTTATTTAGCAAAAAATTTAAAACTCAGTGGTGGTTAAAAACCACCACAAAAAGAAAGCTCTATTTGTGTGAAAGAAGTGTTAAAAATGTTTTATGGGTATATAGTGTTGCATGACCACGCAATTGTCATTCAAAGTGTGACAACACTGAAAGCTAAAAATTGGCCTGGGCAGGAAGGGGGTAAAAGTAGCCTGGTATTGAAGTGGTTAAGGCCAAGGTGTCCAGTACATATATAGCAGCTTCACCATGTTTTGGCTGTCTTGACTAATCTGCCCATCTTAATCATTTTTATATTTTTTTAAAGATGTATGAGGGTTTTATTTAGTACACTATTTTAATAATAATTATTTTCTGTTTTCATTACAGGATAACAAATGCATATTTTAGTTAACTTTTTAAAATACTATAACTGTATCTAAAAATTACAGTATTAAGCAAAGACACACATTCATCTTCAGTATGCAATGCCATCTACAGTATAGGTTGAAAGCTTACTTTGTGATAGCCTGTGATCAATATGTCAGAGATAACATAGTGTTCATTAGGGAGTCATTCAGATAGTGGTAGTATACTACTGCCACCAAATGACAACTTTCCTGTGTGGGAGCTGCCAATATAATTAGTTGCTAGGATGCAAGAGGCCACAAATCCTTTTTGGTTTATAGGAAACAGGTGGTCACCAGTGTCATAGCAACATAGAAAATGAACTTTGCACTGATACATGACCCTCAGGTTCCTCTTGCTGTTTGACAATCTCTTGCCTATTAGGCTTGAAAATTGAAAGAATTGATTTTAAAATATTCACTTCCAATAAACCTCAGTAGGGTTCATATTAAAATATGCAAATTTCAGAGGATATGAAGACAAATTGAACCTATGCATATTTAGTACACTAGACATTTAGAACTTATCACTAGTACTCATATAATTTGGAACTAAATTAGTTCTTGATTGTTAGTGGGAACCAGAGTCTGTGACAGTCAATCTGACACCTAGCCCTCAAAAGAAAGACACAGAATAAAGTATCCCCAGTATGGAGCAATGTATGGGGAAACATCAATCCACAGATTGCGGGTGAAAGGATCTTATTTTTTTTTGTAACAAGATAAGTGAATTGTATCAATTTCACGTTCACAATAGCATGCTGCATTGGGGTTGTTTTAGCAAACTATTCTGCCTGTTACTTTTTTTGGTGCATAGACCTATACTAGTAAATTGTCCTTCACAGCCCATGTTAAAGTCTGAATATAAAATCATGGTTCCATTTACATGCTCAAATTACATTTGGTGTGACTGCACATACCCACACATATTCTCTCTGAATGTCATAGATTCATACAATCTTGAATAAGTACTAATACTGTAAGTCTTGTGCATATAGATTGATAATTAGCAAGAAATACTTGCCTCCAGGGAATAGGTGCAGAAACTCCAACCTTCTTAGTCACTTCTTAGTCACTTCATGTCTCCGCTTCCCACCTCCGAGCACTGTCCCTTGGTTCCACCCTCTACCCACCTTCCAGTACCACTCCTTTTAGAGAGTACTGAGCCAAGTATAATTTTGTGGTGCTAAGTAATTTGCATGGAATTTTTAAATGATAACAAGACCAGCAATAAAACAGATCCCCCGCAGCCAGCAACAACAGACCCTCACAGCAACAATAGATTCCCCACCAATAATGGATTCTGCAACAAAATAACAAAAAAAAAGTCATCAACAATAGACCCCAACAGCAACATCAGATCTCCCAGTACCCAGCATCAATAGACTGTCCAGCAACCAGCAGCAAATACCCCTCTCTCAACAGTAGACCCCTTCCAGCAACAATTGACCCCCCAGCAACACTAGACCCCCCACCATCAACAATAGACCTACTTAGCAACAATAGACCACCACACAAAAATGTATCCCCACTAGTGACAATAGATCCCCCAGCAGCCAGCATCAAAAGACCTTCCAGCACATCCCAGCACTCCCTGCTATTACATACATCCAGTGCTGGAGGTGTTCCCGTGAAAAAAAAAGCCCCATTTGCCTCAATCCCCTTAGCTAGGAATATTTAGGGAAATATGTATGAGAACGTAAGAAGGCTGTCAGTTTCCTGCTTTCAAGATGATCCAGAAGCTGCTTTACATTTACTGATGTAGAAAAAACTATGCAGATTAAAATCCTTGTTCTGCATACTTGTACCAGGTCAGCGTTAGAGATGAGCTGAAAATAAATAGGTTTGGTTGGAGACAATTTCAGCAAATAATGCTAAAGTTTGGGTGTAGAGTCCGAACCCCTTTGAAGTGAATGTGAACTAAATAGTAAAAAGCAGTAATGGCTATTTTCTAAGCTAATAGACAAGGGACTGTCAAACAAATGACATTGGGGCTTAGCACCTCCAATGGGAACATGCATCCAAGCAAAACAGTTTTTTTTTTATTTTCATTTGTCAGGGAGCAGAGATTTTAGTAGTGCAGTAGTGTAGCCATATTTGGACAATGATGTCAGAGATATCCCAGTCCCTTTTTTGTGCATGACCAGGGATTCCCAGCCAGTAAATAAATGGGTACTGTTGACTCCACCAGTTCCTAAGGACTCAGCAGGTGTCGGCACCTACAATTTTCTTGGCAACCATTCACAGGAAGCTCTCATAGATAGTAGTGGTAGAAACACTGCAATTATATATGATGTTCAGCTGTTGCCAAATGGGTAAAAAGTCTGGTGTTCATAAAAAATGTCTGACCAGCCAAAGTTCAGTCCAAACTTGTGTTTAAACTGGACTTTGAGCTCACACCTAGTCAGCATCTCAAAGTCTTGAAGCCAACAGAGCAAGGCAACCCCAACTGAGAGCACTAGAATATGGCTCACTCAATATTTCTTTCAGTATAGGTATTCTTTGACATAGAAAAGGTATCAGCATTTCATACTTTTCGTTATTTAATGGACTTTCATACTTTGTATACTTATATAAATTTGAGGAAAAAAGTTAAAACCTGCATACTTCTTTTTACAGTGTATGACTCCAGCAATTCTGGGTCGGAATGCTGAAGCAGATAAACTAAACCAGGTCCTTGCTGAGTTCATTGCTGTCATGAAACATCTGGAAGAGACATATTTGAAGGATGGACTTTTTCTTGCTGGTGATGAAATATCACTGGCAGATCTTGTGGCTATTGTGGAGATTATGCAGGTGAGATAATGTCAATACAAGTATATTATTACTTTAACACTTTTCTGACCAGAGAGATGTAGATGCCAAATTTAGTAATGTCAATAAGCGTCAAACTTATTAGTAATTCTTTGACTAATTACACTAATTTTGACCACCTAAATAACTTCCCCACTTTATTAACCCCTTCAAGCCACCACCTCTAGGCCCTTTAAGAGGACAGGCATTTTGATCATGTGACCACTGTGATTGACAGTCACAGCGCTCACATGATCGGAAAGTTCTCGTTTGCAAGTATGCATTGGGAGATTTCCAGTACCCAGTTACTGTGCTGGGAGCATGCAGGGAGTGCCCTCTCAGCTCTGGAAAATGTTTACATAGGGAAGCATATATGCAGCCTCTCAGTGTTAAAGCCCACCCACCGAGAGGCCGCATACATGCGTACCTCTGTTGGGAACTGGTTAAAAATAAATATTTTTTTCTGTTATTACCCACATAAACTACTGTCTGTCCTTGCTCCTGCTTCTAATTTCTCTCCCTGGTCCTATATAACCAGATAGCAGGAACTTGTGCTACTAATTTGTATAAAATGTAAAGATTTTAGGCAAAATCTGTGATCTGTGCATCTACAAACTAATAAAAAGGAAGTGCCCATTGGAGCACAGTGAACAAAAATGTAACGTAAGCATGAACTGATTATTGTATGTTCAGAGCAGAATAAATGTATCTTTACTGTGTAAAGTACAGCTATCAGCCTTTCTATCCTCTCTTCAGATAAATGAGAGACTGTTCAGTGAGCTCCAAACATAAACACATAGCAGATGAATATTACAGAGCATTTGAGTGACTGCTCTGAGTTTGTCTGGGGCTGCTATTGTTACATTCAAGATGATGGCGCCCAGCAGAAGCCTCAGGTCTCTTCTTGTGAGAAGCAGTGACACCTGGTAGGTTTGATTCTATATAGAAGCATGTGTGCACCATGGCTGGCAGTCATGGTGATTACATGATTGGGAACCACACTGATTGACTCTGGATCATTAGTGTTAATCAGCAGCTGATAAGCTCCTAATTCTAAAATGGAATGTAGGTAAATGTTTTGTGGGCACAAGGAACTGTGCTCAAGAACTTTCATCTTCAAATCTTGGGTGTCTACTCTATGTGATAGAGGGAATGCATAGTGGTTTTACACATGTTTTATTTATTTGAGTCAGGAATAAAAAATAGATTTGTTAAAAATATGTTTTTGGGTTAGGTAAATATTAAATAGTAATATATCTAGCGGGTGACACTTTAGACTTCTGTCACATATTTTCCAGTCTCCTTACCACCTATTGTTCACCAAGTTCAATATCTCAATAACTCAAATTGCACAACTGAATGAACCAGAGCAGTGGAATTTCTTTCTCTCTCCCTATAAAGTTCTAGAAATCCTGTGTCATTAGTGTGACAGCTGAAAAAACATAAAAAACAACCTTTTGAAATCTCCCCCCCCCCCAAAAAAATTGACGTAATCATTATAGTTATTAATTTAACTTTGCTCAGAACACATTTATTACAATTAGGGCCCATTCACAAGGGCTTTCCATTTAGGTCTGCCTGTCAGTTTTCCAGGCGAGCCTGATTAGAAACTTCATGCATCTATTATGGACAGGCAGATGTAATTGGATTTGTGCCCATTTATATTTGCCTACCTCTGAGTCTATCCAGGCCTGGAAAAAAGGAAAAAAAACTGCAACTTTTTTTAAATATATTTCTGGACTTAAACGTGATGAATCAGAGGATGCTAGTGTCCATGGGACAAACGTAAAGGGTTCAAGGTAAAAAAGAGAAAATCCATCCTGTTCTGCTCTGATTCTGCAGGGGATCTGCTCATAGATCCCCTGCTGATGGACACAGACTGGGTTTGTGTGAAAGAGCCCTTAGAGATGAGCCACACTGACCTGAGTGTGGCTTTAGCAAGGTTTAGTAAGCTTAAAAAAAAGTGGATGTCAAGCTGGAACCCCACTGAAATCAATAGGAGCTGAGCTAGGCTAATAGGTAAGGGGGTGTAAAAATTAGTATGGGAGAGGGGGCACTGCCCTGGGGAGCATATACAAATGCAAAAACATTTTTTATTGTTTCCATTTGTCCAGGAGCCCAATTCCTTTAAATAGCATGCCTATCCAGTGCCTCAATTCTGCCTGTGAAGAGGTGCATCTCTATGATGTACAGAACGCGCTGGAGCAATACTGACATTTACATAGGGAAAAAAGTGTTTAAAATTGCTGACCATACCATTTCATTCTAAGCTTAATTTTTTTTAAGTAGCACACAATCATCTACAATGGTCTGCTATGTATTTTGGGGACCTTTGTAGGGGTCTGTGCCCTTTTTTTTAAGATGCTGGCAATGAAGCGTAATTTCCTGTCAATTTAAACTGTGTAATTGTATTCCTTTTGCGGATCCTACAGCATGAATGAAAAAATTACCCCCCCCCAAAAAAAAAAGTTCCCCTAAAATACATACCTTTTGAGTCTGGCATAGATTTTACAACATGCAAAAAAAAAAACTGTGAGAGCCCCCAGGTAATCCATCCCAGACCCTTAATCTAAGCATGCAGCTTGGCTGGCTAGGAAAGAGAGAGAGGGAAAGTGTGTGGCCCTCCTCTTGAACCATATCAAGTCACAAGCCCTTAACATGGGGGGTGGTCTACCAGGGGTGATGTCCCCTGGCAAAGCACATTGTCCCCATGTTGATCAGGACAAGGGTCTCTTCCCCACAACCTTAGCTGGTAGTTGTGGGAATCTGCAAGCCCCCTTTAATAATTTGGGGGGGGGGGGGCAGATAATGAATGAGTAGGAGTTACATAGTACCCTTATTCATTCACAATAACAAGAAAAGCTCTTGTTGAATGAGTAGGAGTTACATAGTACCCTTATTCATTCACAATAACAAGAAAAGCTCATCACTTATATAAGAGATGAGAAAGAGATGTTGATAACATTACTGCTGACGAAATATGGCAATCCCTGCACCTTTGCAGGGTTGGGATTCCCAGTGGCTTCAGCTGTTCCTAGGGACTCAATGAGGGCAAACAGTGACAGCGGGAAACTGTCACATATAGAAGTGGTAGCAATACCACTTCTATTTATGATTTTTGACTCCTCCTGAACAGGGGGCCAAAAGTGCAAAAGTTTGGACTGGACCTCATCCTCATCCCTAATTACAATTAATTGTGTAGTAAGGTGAGGGACATCCAAGCAAGATTCATTTGGGTTTAGAGGGTAACAATTGTTGGACAAAGCAATTCCTCTGCTTGATCACTATGCGTGGACATTAATTAAAAATACATTTTGATGAAAAGGTCATTCTTAAATGCCGTTACTTAACCAGTTTAGACAATTCTACATAATCTTAGCTAAAAGTGAGGGTGCTAGAAAACAAATCTGACCTGCCATTTCTAAATGATCAAACTTCTTTAGGTCATTGTATCAAAAAATAATTGGTCAAATGTCACAAGCACTTGCCCAGCCATAATAAATTATCCTTGTATTTTGTCTAATGTGATTAGATCATCAGCTCCAATCATAATATGGTATTTTAATGATCAAGGTATTCCAGGAAAATAACATATTATAGCTACTAGACGGGCATAATGATCAAAGTAAAAAACTTATTAGACAAAATACTGAGAAAATGCATTACTGCTTGTGACATTCATCCAGCAAATTTTTACAGACAGACCCCTTAGTCTTTTTCCCATCAGAACACATTTCCATTAAAACAGAGCCCTACTTTGAACTGCCCTCATATTTGCTATCCACCTACTAATGTGATTGTCTTGCTGCTTTTCAAGCACCTGTAGAGACCTGGAAATCAATTTACAGGCATCCCCACAATAGGGGTTTCTTCTTTGGTGAGAAACCTTTAAATATTTCTGCACATGTAAAGGAATTTTGAGGTTGTTACTTTTTCATTAAAAACTAAAACTGATCAGGAAGGTGCAGTAAAGGCAAACTAACCCATTTATTGTTCCTGTGATAGCAGGATTAGAAATTAAAGAATTTATTGTTGCCAGAATAGGAGGATGCATACTATATTAGCTTGATAGAGGTTCTAACCCTTCCTCATTTTACTGAGAAAAATGTATTTAGTTTCAGTCTGTATCTCAGCTGGAAAGCATAGACCACTGTAAAAACCTGATAGGTATCTATCTCTTGGCAGCTGTGTCCAAAACTAAAAAAAATGGGATGAAACTGAGCTTTTCAGTTTTAGTAAGACTTTGGCAAAGCCTAATTAATGTGTCTAAAGAAAACCCTAATGACATTTGCTAAATACCTTATGATACACTGCTCAAAAAAATTAAAGGAACACTTTTTAATCAGAGTATAGCATCAAGTCAGTTAAACTCATGGGATATTGATCTGGTTAGTTAAGTAGCAGAGGGGGTTGTTAATCAGTTTCAATTGCTTTGGTGTTAATTAAATTAACAACAGATGCACTAGATGGGCAACAATGAGACGACCCCCAAAACAGGAATGGTTTTACAAGTGGAGGTCACTGACATTTTTTTTCCTACTCATCTTTTCTGACTGTTTTTCACTAGTTTTGCATTCGGCTAGAGCCAGTGTCACTACTGGTAGCATGAAGCAATACCTGGACCCTACAGAGGTTGTACAGGCAGTCCAGCTCCTCCAGGATAGCACATCAATATGTACCATTGCCAGAAAGTTCCTTCTGTCTCCCAGCACAGTCTCAAGAGCATGGAGGAGATTCCAGGAGACAGGCAGTTACTCTAGGAGAGCTGGATAGGGCTGTAGAAGGTCCTTAACCCAGTGTTTCTCAACTCCAGTCTTCATGGACCCCCAACAGGTCATGTTTTCAGGATTTCCCTCAGATGAAACAGCTGTGGTAATTACTAAGGCAGTGAAACTGATCAAATCACCTGTGCAAAATAATGGAAATCCTGAAAACATGACCTGTTGGGGGTTCATGAGGACTGGAGTTGAGAAACACTGCCTTAACCCATCATCAGGACCAGTATCAGCTCCTTTGTGCAAGGAGGAACAGGATGAGCACTGCCAGAGTCTTACAAAATGACCTCCAGCAGGCCACTGGTGTGAATGTCTCTGACCAATCAGAAACAGACTTCATGAGGGCTTGATTGGCATTTGCCATTGAACACTAGAATTGGCAGGTCCACCACTGGCTCTCTGTGCTTTTCATAGATGAGAACAGGTTCACCCTGAGCACGTAACAAATGTGAAAGGGTCTAGAGAAGCGGTTGAGAACATTATGCTGCCTATAACATCGTTCAGCATGACCGTTTTGGTGGTGGGTCAGTGATGGTCTGGGGAGGCATATCCATGGATGCACAGACCTCTACAGGCTAGACAATGGCACCCTGACTGCCATTAGGTATCGGGATGAAATCCTTGAACCCATTGTCAGACCCTATGCTGGTGCAGTGGGTCCTGGGTTCCTCCTGGTGCATGACAATGCCCGGCCTCATGTGGCGAGAGTATGCAGGCAGTTCCTGGAGGATGAAGGAATTGATACCATTGAATGGCCCCCACGCTCGGCTGACCTAAATCCAATAGAACACCTCTGGTATATCATATTTTGGTCCATCTGATGCCACCAGTTTGCACCTTAGACTGTTCAGGAGCTCAGTGATGCCCTTGTCCAGATCTGGGAGGAAATACCCCTGGACACCATCAGTCATCTTATTAGGAGCATTCCCCGATGTTGTCAGGGATGCATACAAGCATGTGCGGGCCATACAGACTACTGAGTACCATTTTGAGTTGCTGCAATGAAATTTCAGCAAAATGGACTAGCCTGCTGCATCATTTTTTCACTTTGATTTTCAGAGTGTCTTTGAATTCAGTCCTCTGTAGGTTGATAATTTTCATTTCTATCAAACAATGGGACTTCCTTACATTCCTAACACATTACCCAGTCCGTATCTCTATAGATATCCAGCATGACATATTTCCCCATTGAGATCTGATGTGTTTTCAAAGTGTTCCTTTAATTTTTTTGAGCAGTGTATTTACATTTTCCTGGGGCAGCACCATAAAGCATAACTCCAGTAATGTGATGAAAACACCATATCTTGACAACTAGTCTGCCAAAGCCAATCTTTTTAGTGGTCTCTGCCCAATCTTGTAGCTTCCACTATAGCTTTTATCATCACTTATACATCATGATGGAATGTGGAGTCTGCTAGAAGCATCCATCTACATTCCATCATTACTGAGTACTGAGGACTGGGACATCAGCTATTGTAGGGGTTCATAATAAATTAACTATTACTATTTGTATGAAACTATATTTTTTTACGTTTGCAGAATACTGAAGACTGAGGATGGGGGGGGGGGGGGGGGGGGGGGGGGTAGAGTGACAGAGTTTAAAAAAAGTACACATTGATTCAGCAGTTCTTTGTTTTGTAGGTAGTTGCAAGTGGAGTCCCTGTGTTTCAGCAAATGCCAAAGCTTGAAGCCTGGAAACAAAGAGTAGAGGAAGCATTGGGTCCAGAAGTCTTCAAAGAGGCACATGAGGACATTCTCAATGTCAAGGAGCAACAGCTTAATTCTTTGTCTCCCGAAGTTAAAGAACAACTTAAAGGAAGGCTTCTTCTTTTTACAAATTGTGGAATGTGGCTCTGCTAACATACATTATGCCAAGGTTGACATGAAATCATATACTACAAAGCCTTTGTGCCTTCAGATAATGTGATCATTTAAAATGAATACTGGCAATATGTAATTAAATGTTTGGCAGAATTTGATGAAAATAATTTGATTAGCATATAATTAGATCTATGATTACATGAGTTGTAGTAAAATATATTATTCCTTATTTAAAACAGATGTTTTCAATCTACAGAAATAAAGCATTGCATATATAATATAGTAAAATCCTGTTGCTTTTGAGTCATCCATTGACTTCAGTCTGATGTTTCTTTGTATAGGATGTTCTGTACTTATAGTTTACAGTTTTATAACAAACATCCAGGTTAGCAAACAAACTCACTGGAAATGGTCTAATTGGTGTTACAATGCATTCCCTTTTTGTCTTTAAGCCTAGTACACACAAGTACAAAAGCTGGAGCAAGGAACACATTTTAGTGCCTGGTATGGAAATAAAGCATTGAGCCAAATTACTCAATATAAAAACTCAAAGAATGTTGGTTTTCTACTGCACCATGCTAAAATTAAATGGACCTTGACCCAATTATTTGGATGTTTTTGGTTTGAACAATTCACATTGTAGACCTGATATTTTAAATGAAAAAAAAACTTGACAAGGGCTCTACCTCTTCTATTAAACTATAAACCCTCCCAAGACCACTGATATATCTCATGAGACACAGAGGACAATTTGGCATCATATATAAAATCATATATTTTATTTGTGTATCAAATGTATAACAAACTACAAAACATAACCACCAAAATACCACAACTAAAACCATAATTGGGTCATTATAAAAACCCATAGCAACAGCAAATAAAAAAGCAACCCCCAAGAAAGGAAAACAGTCCTTCAAATTATTGACCAGTATCACATACAGTATAAATTAAAAACAATATAATATATTTTAATCCTAAAACAGGTATATAGTAAGCAATGGTTCACAGATATCTGGGTTCATGTGTGAAAAGTCCCAAATTATAGTTGAAATTGAACCACTTGTCACACATGTCCTGGTTCTTAACTAGTGCACATGAAATTTTAAAGTATCGCAAAAAAGTCATAAACTTGAGGCTCGCTGAGACCTCTTATTCCAAAAGATTATATTGTGTATGGGTGAATATTGCTGGAAGACTCCAAGGGAAGATTTGCACATTTCAAATGCCTGGGTATACCTTAGCATGAATACACTATGTGTATCTGCAATGTATTTACAGGAAAGTCCATTCTTTGGGTGACTTGCTTATCCACAGTGATATATCTTGGAGCCCCCCCCCCCTTTATGGGAGTTATTGGGGCCTGAGGAGATGCAGTGCCTGTGACTTTTGCACATATATGTTTGAGGGTGATTACCTTACATTATCTAATTTTGAAATGCAGAAAGCAAGCTAATTGTAACACATCTGGGGTAATCTATGTTTTAGGTTGTATCTGTGGTGCCATTTTTATAGGCAACACCATCCATACAGTTCGTAGGAGGTTGCAAAATCACTACATGACATCTTCACCTTTCATTTAAAAGAATGAGTAGCAAGACTCATGTGTTTGACTCACAATGGAAACAATAGGTCACTGAAGTGTAGGATATTGGAGGTTGTTAAACTCAGTTCTAGAGGAGGTAATTTGACCAAATCATACTCCAAAAAAGAGACAAAATGGATTTGGGAATTGAGGGCAACAATTACCCCTGGTTTAAATAACAGCTATGGTATACCCAGGCATTTGAAATGTGCAAGACTTCCATTGGATTCTTCCAGCACTACTCACCCATAACACAATCAGCCCAGTATAACCACTTCAGGACTGTGACATTACCTGACTGAATTTGGGAGGACCCCACATCACTATATAGTGTTGCGAATGGGGTCTTCCCTCAAAATTCATACCAGACCCCTATATAGGATAAGGGTCTGGTATGGAATGGGGACACAGATTGTTTTTTTTTCATTTACAATGACTATGTGGCTGCTGGTGTCCTACCAGTCAATGATGTATTTGGTTGCTAGTTCACATTTGCCCAGCCAGCACAGCTCCTTGGATGCTAGAATGCAGGAGGTCACCAGCATCCTACCAACCGTTGCTGTGTGGTCACTTGCATCTTAGCAACCAAAGATACTTGTACCCCACACAATAAACTGTCATCTAGCAGCAGTAGCAATACCACCACTAAATGAATGACTTCTGGCTAGAAGCCAGGGGTTCAGACAGGGACACAGGTCAAATCTGGCCATTAAGTTTTCCTGTTCAGTGAACTGTGCACAGGTAAAGTTAGCTGTAAACCTTGAATCAGAGCAAATGCTAGCCTCATCCCTACTGAACATACACAGAGCTAAAATGGCAGTTGAGCAATCCAGCTTTAGTATAACCTAGCTTGGATAAACTTTTTCAGAATACATCCTGTATACAAGGTTGGAATCTCTGTATTCTGTAATCAGATACAGTCAGTTAACAAGAGATGCTTCTAAGAGATTTTCCCTTTCCTATAAGTACTATAATTGAGCATTGGTACTTTTATTTGTGAGAGCATTCTTGTAGGTGGATGTGGTCTGCTGTAAGAAATAAAACATTCTTAATTGAACACTATGTACCTTAAGTTGTTTTTGACATTGTGTATCATACCACTTACAATTGCTTCTTGTGACATATAATAGTAGTTGTTGACTAATAATACACTTGTTCAGTCCATGTCTTGATTTTCACAGTTGGTTCCTGTAGTTAAAAAAACACTTTTGCCTGTGTTCCCATAGTCCTTAATTGTATATCATATTTCCAAAACTTTATAAACTCAATAAAATGCATAGAAAACAAAATTAAAAGTTAAAGAGGTTTGTGGAAATGTAAATAATAAATTATAACACTAGGTAAATGTATAGCATTAAGTCTATTTAGGTTTCACACAACTTACACCCAAGAGTCATATACAGTATGTTAACAATCAAATCCAATTAGAGATATGTGTGAATGGTGGGTAAATAGTTGTGTGAATCTTGGTTGAAAATATTTATAAACCCCTAAGTATATACGTATGTGCATGTATGCATATTTATTTTAGTATACATATCTAAAGTATATTGTATTTATATTATCATTTTTAAACTGTGACAAAGTTTAATTATCATTAAGCATCCAAGCATTGTGTATACATCATGAGCAGCCCACACATGATATATATATGAAGGTACAGGATATAGAGGTGTGGGGCATAAACAAGACAGAAGGGAATTATTATTACATAAAACTAATGTAGGAAGTCTCCCATTTACAAACTGTAATATGAAAACAATAAATAATAAAATGCTACATTCTACGTAAAACAAAATTCAAAGACATGTACACAAATACCAAACGCCTGCCAAAAATGGATGAGCTGGTACTACTATTTTAGGAGAATTTTGGCTTTGTGGAAATATCTGAAACCTTGATGGACTGCTCACAGGGCTAAGCTGCAAATATTACATTATCTTGAGAAGTGACAAGGAGAGGTTGAAAGGTATGGTTATATGACAAACTCCATCTGAAAGTGAGTGTAAGCGAAGATATCAGCAATGAGGGCTGTGATGTTGTAGAGTCTTTTTGGCTGAAGTTGAATATGAGTAACAATAACAGCAACAGCAAATTAGTTCTGAGAGTATGTTACAAGCTGCCCGACATTGAGGAGGAAGAGAAGAATCTACTTTCAAAAATAAAATTAGCAGGGAAACAGGGAAATCTTGTTATTATGGGGGATTTCAATAACCCAGAAACTGATTGGACAAATAATACAGCACATTTAACTAAGGCTTGCCAGTTCTTGAACACACTTTAGTAAAATGCTTATGGGATAAATGGTAGAAGCCCCAGTTAAAAATAATTCCTGCTAGAGCTGGTGATTTCCAATAAAATGTAATGTATATATAATGTATATCAGAGGAAGGAGAGACATGTGACCACCAGTAAAAATCTTAATTAAAAAAAAAAACAAAACAATTTCAACAAGCTGCTCTGCTTGACACTAAATGGGACCACATATTAACAAAGAACGCAAAGAGAAGTGTGAGTGCTTTAAGGGTGTGGTAAACAATATTCACCAAAAGGACTCAAAGATTCACAAGTTTAACCCAATGTATACCTTACCTTATCCCAAAAAAACAACCTTCCCCTTTCCATAAAAAAAAATCCTCAATAGAGATATAGATAATAATACATCCTTTCTCTAATAGAAGGTATTAGTAAATATTTATCATAACTCAAATAATCCTCCATATTGAGAAATGCAAATACTAAATACAATGAAACAGGACGTTTCATAAATATATAAAGAATTTAAGAATGGCAAGTAGGTAGCAGGTTCCAGATTGTGAGATACCCCAGAGCTGTGAAGTGATTGAAAGGCTTGCTGTCCCAGATGCTTATCTTCCCAGAACCTTATACAGGGAAATGTCACCAAAAACATTTTTAATGGATTTTTAATGGGATAAGGTTGGGTTAAATTTGTGTGTCTTCTTTAAGATATATTAATATATAAGTTTATAAAAAAATCTAAAAACTGTTGTTTGTGTGTAATGTGAATATATTTATATATATATATATATATATATATATATATATATACACTGCTCAAAAAAACTAACACTTTTTAATCAGACTATAGCATCAAGTGAATTAAACTCCTGGCATATTGATCTGGTCAGTTAAGTAGCAGAGGGGGCTGTTAATCAGTTTAAGCTGCTTTGGTGTTAATGAAATTAACAACAGGTGCACTAGATGTGCAACAATGAGACAACCCCCAAAACAGGAATGGTTTTACAGGTGGAGGCCACTGACATTTTTTTCCCTACTCATCTTGTCTGACTGTTTTTCACTAGGTTTGCATTTGGCTAGGGTCAGTGTCACTACTGGTAGCATAAGGGAATACTTGGACTCTACAGAGGTTGTACAGGCAGTCCAACTCCTTCAGGATGGCAAATCAATATGTGCCATTGCCAGAAGGTTTGCT